TTTGTAATCTGGCAGGGAAGACAGACAGTGGTTTTTTGATCTCCTTCTTCAGGCTGCCATGAATGAGGGGTACTGCATCAATGGGGATATTTTTCAGGATGCAGTATAGTTGCACCTGCAATATCCACTTGACAGTGGTATCGTGGGTTGAGGAGGTGAGGTTGGTGTTGGCAAACAAAGCCCATAATCTAGCTTCGTCCCTCATACTACCTTTGGAAAGGGCTCCCTTGGCATAGACAGGTTAACCAATGGTGAACAAGTTCTTCAATTCCAGCAAGAACTTAGGGTTTTCTCTCTGCTCTATGTAACATCCTGTTACGTACCGCTATTGTTAACATTGATTATGATATTAAGTGCAGTTACAATCACAACAGTTTATTTAAAAATACGAGTAAATTTTTTCCTTTTCATTACGTAAGCATTTGAAAATAATATAAAACGTAATGATATAAACTGTGATCATAACTGAAATCTATACGCGGAATTAACATTACACATGCTTAACTATCATACAATATTTATTTTAAGTTGCTAAGAGGTTCCCATAAACCAACATAGCATCAATTTTGCTTTTCCACTTTTCCTAACACTGAACATGCTTCCTTCCTTTCACTATTAGGCATGATCCACACATTATTAGTTTTCCATATTTTAGTATGTTAAAATAGATTCAATTACCTTTCTAACAAGGTATCACACACCTCATTTGGAGTCCTATAACTCCGGATACGCTCACCATAAGTTGATCCCTCAAAATTGTAAACAAACTCTAAAAACAAAACAGGAAAGCATCTTATAAATTAAACTGGTAATGATCCATATAATCAATGGTACTAAAACTTTATATTATAGCCCTATGTGTTAGCTTCATATAGATCCAAACCTCACTCGATTTGGAGCCCTATAGCTCAAGTTATATACATTTTACTAAATCATGTATGAGATGGGAACGTGTGACGTTCCCCCAAACACGGGACGTTCCCTATACATATAAGTCATTCCCTAGGGTCATTCTCACAAGTCATTCCCCTTTTGGGTCATTCCCACCATTTGAACATATGGCATTATCATCCCCTAAACCAAAGTCGTTCTCGTCCCTGCTATCGGAACATCACTTACATTTTAACATTTCAAGGTTCAACAGCATTAGTTCTAATCAAAACTGGGAGTGATCCACTGCCAAGAAAATTATGAATTTTGGATACATGAAACTAGATTCCCGGGGATTTAATTTGACATACCATAAGCCTAATATGAGTAAGAAATGAGGGAGATATGAATTTTTGAAAACCGTTTACACAGGTTGCGTTCTACAGCGTGGAACAGAGTAGTCTGTATTCATTTGAAAACTGGGCAAGTTTTACTACTCCGAATGATACCAAATTTTGATACAACATAGCTGACATCTCAAGCTTCAAAATTATATATGACACATCTCTATTTTATCTCTGTGGAGGAAGATATGCTCTCCCAAAGTTAGCCTAAAAACTGCCATTTTAGTATAAATTTCAGCGGCACCTCCTTTGTTTATTCAACCTATCCCACTTTATCAAAAGTGTGTTCCTATGCCACAAGGGTACCTAATAGATAAGGGTGGCACTCAAGGACCAATAATGTCTTGGTGCTCTTACAACCCACAACAATTTAACATATTCTCATCCATTTATGATTCATTACATACTTTATCAAAACTTAGAATTATTACAATCATATTGTCCCATTTCCTTGCATTCTTACAATAGATACATAATCATAACTTAAAATAGGCCCATTGCCCTTTCATCACATACATGCTTTACATATTACACAAGGTCCAAGAGTTCACAATTACAATTTCCCAAATGATAAATAATACAATTAAATCCTCCAAAGTACAACATGATAAATCAACAATTAGACTTAGGCAAAATATGGCATGAACAAATATGACAATATGCATAATCCTAAATCCATATACAATGTTCATGCCCTAAGTCTAGCCTATGCCAAAGTGGCCCCAAAATTGCAACAGTGCTCAAATCTCCAAGTGCTCATCCTATGGGTTTCTTGCCCACAGTTTCAGCCCCACTGCTACTACCTGAAATAATGCCCCAAACACGGGGTGAGATATACGAATATATCTCAGTAATCTAGAGGTTCTGGAGATCACTCCGCTAAATGGCTCACTCGAATGTAATATCAATAATGCATCATAACAACCAAAAAGAGATAAAGCAAGGGATTTAGTGAAGTAGGGAAGCATAGGAAGTAAACATACGATGAAGCTGGAATAGTCATAGCCAAAACCACGCAACATCTGGCCTATTGGCCTCGGCATATAGCCTACGGGTTCTCATCCAAGGAAGTGTTCCCAGAACATCATCCAAGGCACCCTCCTTCCAATACACCCGAGACATTCCTAGAGTGCTCCTCAAAGGATCACAACTCTGCGGCCCCAAGCCAACTAGAACTACCTTATGAAGACTGATAAACCCTTGGTTTATAAGGTTTTAAAGCATGAATTAGCTTAATTTGTGTGATTAAATGGATGGAAAAGAGGGTTAATGTCCTGGAAAGTCCTAAATACACGTTCTGAAGTTTGTGTTGAAAATTTACATTGTTCTTGTAGGAAAATGAATATCAAGAAGCAAAAGAGAGAAGGAAAAAGATTCTAAAGAGATAAAGCAAGGGATTTAGTGAAGTAGGGAAGCATAGGAAGTAAACATACGATGAAGCTGGAATGGTCATAGCCAAAACCACGCAACATCTGGCCTATTGGCCTCGGCATATAGCCTACGGGTTCTCATCCAAGGAAGTGTTCCCAGAACATCATCCAAGGCACCCTCCTTCCAATACACCCGAGACATTCCTAGAGTGCTCCTCAAAGGATCACAACTCTGCGACCCCAAACCAACTAGAACTACCTTATGAAGACTGATAAACCCTTGGTTTATAAGGTTTTAAAGCATGAATTAGCTTAATTTGTGTGATTAAATGGATGGAAAAGAGGGTTAATGTCCTGGAAAGTCCTAAATACACGTTCTGAAGTTTGTGTTGAAAATTTACATTGTTCTTGTAGGAAAATGAATATCAAGAAGCAAAAGAGAGAAGGAAAAAGATTCTAAAGAATTTGGAGGATTCAAGTGTTGAGCGCTAAAACGGCCAAAGCAAACGTTTTAGCGCGCTGCTGCAAAAGGAAGCCCAAAAGTGCTGGTGTTGAACGCTAAAACGGCCAAAGCAAATGTTTTAGCGCGTTGATGTTCAACAAAATGCCCAAATTCCCTGGAAGTGTGCGCTTTAGCGGTCATGATGAAATGTTTTAGCGCTGAGGACAGTTAAAAGCGGTTAGGCATCCTTCAAGTTGAGCGCTAAAACGTCCAACAAAGAGTGTTTTAGCGTTTCAACGTTCGTGAAAACAATTACAAAGGAGCGCATTTTAGCGCTCGATCCAGCATTTTAGCGCCTATGTCAGTTTCTGGGTGTTATTTTAGTTTTGAACTTGTAAACTATAAAAGGGCAAGGGGCCTTCACACTTAGTATCTGATTTTTCATTCTCTGAATTTCAAAATTCCTTAGGTCTTAGTCTTGTATTAGTTTTAGTATACTTTATGTAATGGTGATGGAGGATTGAAGATTCAACAACATGACAATGAAGTTTGATCTTTCCTCTTCTCTTGTTATTTCTGTTTCTATGTCTGAGTAGAGTCCCTTGTAGTTGGATTTCAATGGAACTCAAGCATGAATTTATGTATGGTTGATTGAATATTATGATTATCTTTTATGTGATGGAATGAAAGTGTCTTTGTTAATTCTTTCCATTAAGGAAGTAATGTAGAACAGAAATGTTTACATTACTTCGGTAACTAGAAATTGCATCATCAGTGTTCTATTATTCAGGAATGGAAATAGGATTCTGATGCATCTTTAAAATCTCAGTGATTAATGTATGTATTGAGAAGGGAATCACCAAGGGATTGGGGTTTCTTGATTAATGTATCAACTAAGATAGTAAGGAATTACATCTTAGTGATAATAAGAAGATTGATTGACATCACATTGGAGATAATTCATGATTGGATCGATTCTTACATAAGTTTATGATTGAGGGATATTGATTTCCTTACTACTTGTTTTAAAATTGTAATTCATATTTTAGTTATTTTACCGATTTCAAATATAATTCAAATTCTGGTGACAATTATCAATGCATTCAATGAATTCTTGTTTGATTCAACTTAATTATAAATGGTTAGTTGGTGTTTGAATACAAATCCTCGTGGGAACGGTCTTTACTTATCATTTTATTACTTGTACGACTAGTACACTTACTAAAGTCGCATCAAGTTTTTGGCGCCGTTGCCGGAGATTTGTTCTTTCAACATTGACATACACCATTAATATTTGAGATTGAATTTTTATTTTTATTTTCTCTTTTTATTTTCAGCAATTTATATTTATGTGTGAAGTTTTGTTCAATTCCAATTCTGGTGTATGCGAGGTACTATTAATGCAAACTCTTTGTTGTTTGATCCAGAATTAGAAAGGACAATTAGAAAGAACAAAAAGGCAGCAAGACAAAGGAAGTTAAAGAAAGGGGTGAATCCAGTGTGACAATTCAGGAAGAAGTCATGGAAGAAAATCACAGGCCACCACCACAGAGGACACTGGGAGATTACATGACTCCCACTGTAATTCCACCGATTAGGAGTGTTGTTCGACCCAATGTGGAACCCAACAACTTTGAGTTGAAACCTGCATTAGTACAATTGGTGCAGAAAGAACAATTTGCTGGCACCAGTGCAGAAGACCTATATCTGCACATTGAGAATTTCTTACTTTTGAGCGATACCGTGAAGATCAATGGTGTGACTAGAGATGCTATCTTGTTAAGATTGTTCACTCATTCACTGAAGGATGATGCAAGAAGATGGTTACAATCATTACCTCAAGGAAGTATCACAACTTGGGATGATCTGCAGACTAAGTTTTTAGCCCGGTTCTTTTCAGCATCAAAGAGGGCGAAATTGAAGGATGAGATCACAGGGTTCAAACAAAAAGAATCAGAGTCTATCTATGAAGCTTGGGAAAGATTCAAAACACTCTAGAGGAAATGTCCACAACATGGAATCGAAGTGTGAAATCAAGCAACAATATTTCTCCAAGGGTTGACAACCAACACAAGAACATTGGTGAATGCCACAGCTGGTGGTTCATTACCAACCAAGACTCCTCAAGAAGCCCTTTGACATATTTGAATCTATAGCATCTCAAGAATTTGACAATGCTACAGTGAATGACAGAAGAATAGGAGTTATAAAACTTGATGGGTATGATGCTTTGTTAGCCAAGAATGATCAGATGATGCAAATGCAAAAAAAAAAACAACAACAACAACAGTTGGATGCTCTCACTAAGCAGCTATCCTGTCAAAATGTTGCTTCTGTGGACACTAATTCTGTGTGTGCAATTTGTGGAAAAGGCCATGTTACAGAAGATTGTGATTATGGGGGACCTGCAGAACAAGCAAAAGTGAATGGGGTATGGTATGATCAGAGGAACCAGAACAACCAGGGGCGAAATTTGTATGTTCATGGAAGAATATAAATCAACACCCAGGGTTCAGTTATAGTTCTAATCATCAGTTGAATCCTCCACTGTATCCTCCTCCACCACATTCGTCATAACAAGGTGTTACCTCTGCGTGGGAGAAAGCTTTTTCACAGTTATCTAAGACCACTACAGAATATATTCAGGGTTCATATTCTTTCAGAGAAGAAACTTCTGCATTCATGCAAGAGACAAAAACATCATTCAGGAACCAGGAAACATCAATCCAGAATTTGGAGACCCAAATTGGTCAGTTGTCCAGACAAATATCTGAGAGATCACAGGAAAAGTTCCCTGGTGATACACTGATGAATCCAAAGGAGCATTGCAAATCCATTACTACAAGAAGTGTGCTTGTGCTTTAACCGGTTAAGAAGAAAGTGGAAGAAAAGAAAGAGGAGCAAGAAGTTGTTGTTGAAGATGATGAAGTTGAAAATGATGAAAAAGACAAAGTTAAGGAAGATAAGAAAGAAGATGAAGTAGTTGTTGAAAACAATTCTTCACCCAAGAAGTTGATGAAGTGGGAGAAGAAGAAAATGCCTGACAAGCAAGACAAGCCAATTAATCTATCTACACATGCAAAAGTTCCTTATCCTCAGAGGTTGAAGCAAGAAATTCAGAAACAGCATTATGCAAGGTTTCTGGATATTTTCAAGAAACTACAGATCAACATTCCATTTGCTGAAGCCTTGGAAAACATGCCCCACTATGCAAAATTTATGAAGGATCTTTTGTCTAAAAAGAGGAAGTTGAAAGATGGTGAGACTGTGGCTTTAACGGAGGAATGTAGCGCCCTTATTCAAAAGAAGCTTCCTCCGAAGTTAAAAGACCCAGGTAGTTTTAGCATTCCTATTGCTATTGGAAATGTGGAAGTAGGAAAAGCACTTTGACTTGGGGGAAAGTATAAATTTGATGTCATTATCCATCTGCAGAGCTTTGGGGATTAACAAGTTGAAAACCACTAATGTTATTCTACATCTAGCAGATAGATCAATTAAGAGACCAGAAGGGGTGGTAGAAGATGTTTTGGTCAAGGTGGATAAATTCATTTTCCCTGTAGATTTTGTAATTTTAGATATGGAATAGGAGGATACTAAAAGTCCTCTACTTCTAGGGAGACCATTCTTAGCCACTGCAAGATCTCTAATTGATGTTGAACAAGGAAAGTTGATATTAAGGGTGAATGAAGAAACAGTCACCATTGATGTGTTTGAAGCTATTAAACATTATGTTGATGTGGAGGATTGTTTCAAAGTAGATATCATACAGAAGGCTGTGGAAGAAGTGATAGAAGAAGAAAACTCTTTACTTGAGGAAGACAAATTTAAGGAGAAAACAAGTGTAGAATACTATAAGGAAGAACCAAAAGTAGAAGAGTTAGAAAAGAAAGTAGATGACATTCCTAAGAGAGCACCCAAGGTGGAACTTAAAGAACTTCCTTCAAATCTCAAGTATGTGTTTCTTGGGGATGATCAAACCTACCCAGCCATCATCAGTGCTTTGTTGTCTAAAGGAGAGGAAGTAAAGTTGATTGAAGTGCTTAAAAAGAACAAAACAGCCATAGGATGGTCATTTTCAGACCTCAAGGGTATTAACCCCTCTTTCTGCACTCATAAAATATTGATGGAAGAGGAGGTTAAACCAGTGAGGCAACCACAGAGAAGACTCAATCCTACTATGAAGGAGGTAGTGAGGAAGGAAGTGGTGAAGTTGCTTGATGCTGGAATGATCTACCCTATTTCTGATAGTGCTTGGGTGAGTCCAGTGCAGACAGTGCCCAAGAAAGGAGGAATGACTGTTGTGAGGAATGAGAATAATGAATTAATTCCCACAAGAACAGTCACTGGCTGGAGAATGTGCATTGATTACCGGAGACTCAACATAGCAACCCGGAAGGACCATTTCCCTATTCCATTTCTAGATCAAATGCTAGAGAGATTGGCAGGACATGTTTTCTACTGCTTTTTATATGGATACTCAGGTTACAATCAGATAGCTGTGGCTCCAGAAGATCAGGAGAAAACTGCATTTACTTGCCCCTATGGAATCTTTGCATTACCGGAGGATGCCTTTCGGCTTATGCAATGCACGAGCGACTTTTCAAAGGTGAATGCTTTCCATATTCTCTGACATGGTAGAAAAATGCATTGAAATTTTTATGGATGATTTTTTCGTATTTGGTCCTACTTTTGATGCCTGTCTAGAAAATTTGGATTGTGTTTTAAAAAGATGCCAAGATAGTAATCTTGTATTGAATTGGGAAAAGTGTCACTTCATGGTGACAGAAGGCATTGTTTTAGGACACAAGGTGTTAAGAAGAGGAATTGAAGTGGATAAAGCCAAAATCTCTGTTATTGATAAACTTCCCCCTCCCATTAATGTCAAAGGTGTGAGAAGTTTTCTTGGTCACGCAGGTTTTCATAAACGCTTTATAAAAGATTTTTCAAAGATTGCAAAACCTTTATGCAAGTTGTTAGTGAAAGAACAAGAGTTTGTGTTTACTGATGAATGCCTTCATGCATTTAACATTATGAAAGAAAAATTGATCACTGCACCCATAATAATGGCACCTAATTTTTCACTACCTTTTGAATTGATGTGTGATGCAAGTGATTATGCTGTAGGAGGGGTGCTAGGCCAAAGAAAAGACAAATTGTTGCATGTCATATATTATGCTAGTAAAATTCTTAATGATGCACAGAAGAATTATGCTACTACAGAAAAGGAATTATTAGCTATTGTATATGCATTTGACAAATTTAGGTCATACCTGTTAGGATCAAAGGTGATTGTTTACACTGACCATGCAGCTTTAAAGTATTTGTTAACCAAGCAGGATGCTAAGCCCAGGTTACTCCGATGGATGTTACTTCTACAAGAGTTTGAAGTGGAAATCAAAGATAAAAAGGGAGTTGAAAACTTGGTGGCTGATCACTTATCCAGGATCACAGAGAAAAATCTACAAGAAGGACAGGAAGTAGTGATTAAAGAAGAGTTCCCTAATGAGCAAATACTGGCCATAAGCACTGTTTCCAAGTTGGTGCAGGATCAAGTCTTGACGATTAATAATCCACTATGGTTTGCAGATTTTGCAAATTACAAAGTTGCTGGAGCAATGCCTAAAGATTTCACATGGCAACAAAGGAAAAAAATTTTGCATGATGCAAGGAGATATATTTGGGATGAACCATACCTCTTCTACAGGTGTTCAGATGGGGTAATCAGAAGATGTATTCCAGAGGACGAACAAGAAGATGTCTTATGGCACTGTCATGGTTCAGCCTATGGTGGACACTTTGCAGGAGAGAGAACACCGGCAAAAGTTTTGATGAGTGGTTTCCATTGGCCAACATTGTACAAGGATGCAAGGAAGTATGTGGAAGCATGTGATTACTGTCAGAGAACTGGTAATATATCCAGGAGATTATGAAATGCCATTGAACAATATACTGGAAGTGGATTTCATGGGACCCTTTCCCTCTTCCTACTTCAATAAGTACATCCTGGTGGCAGTGGATTATGTATCTAAATGGGTTGAAGCCATAGCCACACAAACTAATGACTCTCGGGTTGTGATCGCATTTCTGAAAAAGAATATCTTTGTGTGATTTGGAGTCGTGAGAGCCATAATCAGTAATGGGGGAACACATTTTGACAATCGGTTGGTAGAAGTTGCTCTTGCAAAATATGGAGTCAGGCATAAGATATGTACCCCGTACCATCCACAGACTTGTGGTCAAGTTGAGATTTCTAACAGAGAACTTAAGCGTATACTAGAAAAGACTGTTGGAAATGCTAGGACTCAATGGTCCAAGAAACTTGATGACACCTTATGGGCTTACCGTACAACATTCAAGACTCCTATTGGAATGTCTCCATTCCAATTGTTATTTGGGAAAGCATATCATCAACCGGTAGGGTTGGAACACAGAGCACTGTGGGCTGTTAAGTTCTTAAACTTTGATTCTAAAGCAGTAGGTGAGAAAAGGTTACTTCAATCGGGTGAACTGGATGAATTCCGTCTTTCTGCATATGAAAGTGCAAGCTTGTACAAAGAGAAGACCAAGTTATGGCATGACAGGAAAATCATGCCTAGGGATTTCAAAGTGGGCAACAAAGTTCTGCTGTTCAATTCCAGGTTAAAGCTATTTCCAGGAAAGTTGAAGTCTAGATGGTCTGGACCATTTATGGTGAAGGATATTAAGCCTTATGGAGTGGTGGAAATTATTCCCATGGCTTCTGACCGAAGCTTTACCGTCAATGGTCAGAGGTTGAAGATATACATTGGCAGTGCTGTAGACAGGAAACTTCTTACAGTTGCCCTGATGGAGGTAAGTTAAGTGAGAAATGTCAGGCTCGTGACGGTAAACATGAGTGGGAGGCAACCCACTATATCAGGTATGTAATATACAGTATTATTAATAAATAAATAAAAAGGAATTGAAGAAAATTTCTGAAGGGCTGGGCGCTAAAATGCTTCATGTTGACGTTTTAGCGCCCTCACAAAAGGGAAAATCCAAA